GCATAAATATGAACGAAAATTGAAATATCAAGACCTGTTAAACAAGAACAGTTACATACCCCCCCCCCCACATACACACACACAAGGTCCCTTTCTACTGATAACAATTTGCGGCATATTATTCGCCCATCATCTCCCATACGCCCCATATTTTATAATTGTGTTTCGTCACTGCAGCCAAGGAGTTATAACTCCTTGCTGCAGTTAAGTTTATTTATCGTCATCTATCAATTCCCAACCAAAGTTCAGTTGGGCCACTCCCTTTTCGCCAACATACTCACATAATTATAAAACCTAGCAAATTTATTCCAAAATTCTTGGTTATAAAACCGTCTACGTATTCCGCGTATAAACTACTTGGCAGTAGTTTGCAAGCTTTTGGAAATTAGGTCAGAAGTTCGCGAAATAGGATATGCCGTTCTTAGGGGAGAAAGGTTGGAGTATTTTGCATTTCCTCTTTCTGCAGTTTCTCAGAAGAAATATTAGTATCTTTCATTGTGCTTAGTTATAATAAATTCGAAGAAGTTTATTCTCTTTCCTGTATCACGCGTTTCTTCAGATATAAGTAAATACAACATATTACTAAAAAACCTTTACCCCCTCTCGTGAATGCAATGTGTCGTCTGCAGAGCACCTGCGTCTGCCACCACGCTGGATGCTCCGCGCTTCCCGGGAGCTGAACAGTTAACGCGGTCTGAAAATTTTTAGGGAGAGTCAGATGAAATAGAGAGAGGCCATGACGTATATATAGGTTCTAAACGGTGAAACTGGAAAAGTGGGCTAGGTTTACTCTCCTCTTTAAGTGTTTTCAATATCCACTGCCTTTTAGTGACATCATGCAACCAAATATTTTTTTTGTATTTTGATACCCCTTCCTCTTCTGTCTCCCCCTAAAACGGTCCACACTAAAAACTCAATAATCGTACGGCAATAGCCTACAGTCAATTGACCTACTTTTATACCCATGCCGTCGAGTTTTATGGCTGTGAAGTGAAGGCGCGATACACGTCTGTGATATAAAAAAATATTTTTAATTACATAATTAATAAACAGTGCATGTGGATCAAAGGTCTCCCATTTTGTGAGCAAAAGGGGAAATTACTTTTTGAAAATAATGAAAACAAATTGGAGACGAGCCAAAATAAGAAAAAATGCTTTTTTTCTCTTATATGCAAATTAAGTCGGAAGTGATGTTCATATCAGAGATTTGTAATGGTGATGATCTTGATGATTTTAATAGTGATTCAAGAAATATTATCAAAGTTTTCAGTTGTCATCTGGTGAGAAAGAAATTTTCTGCAATAACACAATCATACCACAAGTAAAGAATAGAGAGTAAACGCGTTTCAGAGACGCACTGCAGACGTCACGGCTTTTGGGTGAAAATCACGCGTGTCGAATGTTTCCAAGTGAGTGAAAATGGATATCGGCGAACCATTAAAACTTTGACTGCATTTCTTTTTATTTGTGTTCTAAAAGGGTGAATTTAATTAAGATATTTTCTCTCTCTCTCTCTCTCTCTCTCTTTCTTTTTTAAGCGAATATTAAGGACAAAGGCAAGAGAAAAATTAATAACCATAACAGTCAAAATATTCAGATGTCAAAAGATTTCATAGTTAAAAATCTTGTTAGCCACTACAGTCCCTCCTCGTAGAGGTTCATAGGGGATCGAATTTTTAGATAACTCGTGATTGTAAAATTGATGACCAGCAGATTGTGCGCCACTTATACTAATTATGTTTGTGATCCACAAATAAACTACACTACAACTTAATACCGCCTAGACATGTGTCAAAATTACCCTTTTTTATAAGACAACAAAATCTTCTCTTACTTTTAAAATGCGGAAAATAGACTTGTATTTAGGTTGTGAATAAACCCAAGATTGTTTGGCAACGTATGTCAAGTTGGAAGCATTTGTTTATTCTGCTTTTTTTAGAAGGGGATATCAAAATTTTACAGGCTTTCAGTTTTAAGATGATGAGTTTCTGTTTATGTTTGAATGCGAATAAGCTTTAATTATTATCCTGTAAAGCTCTCTTTTGGAAGAACGAAAGGAAAAGTCTTATACTGTCTTATTTGATGTAAAAGTTTCAATATGGATAGCTTAATTAATAAATAAACGTTATGTTAATTCTAAGTCACCGCTGTAATCATATCCACTTTGAAAACACTCTCTCATACGGGAAGTGGGTGTGATGTTTATTTCCTTTTAAAGCCGAAATCGATTTCACCAAGTGGAGCGACCCATCGTGGCATATTTAACCCCGGACTGATCACTTGGCATGTCGAATTCCAGGTTGATATTCTAAGCTACATTACTAAACGTGACCGCCAACGCCATAGCATTTCCAGGTATATCAAATGCCATCTTCACCCCCAGAGTAGAGTGCGACCCAGAGAAACATGCTGCTGTGGTCTGTTCCCTCGTCTGGCATGCCCCTTGGAATAAGACCGTGACTGTCAGTAAAGCCTAGGTCCCAACTACGTTTTGAACGCACGGTTTTTTAGGTTCCTTGCGTCCGGCTACAACGTAGCTAGATCGCAGGGAAGGAATCAGGTGAAAAGTTTCTACGTGCTGTCTGCGTCCTCCAAAATGGACGTGGTCCTCACGCACGAACTCCCACGTTTTCCCCATTTTTTTGGCTGTAAACCACACGTTACAGCCCGTACGTTCGGTTTGGACCTAGGCTTAACAGGTGCCGATGAAATTGTCCGTACGATTTTTTTATTGAATTGATAAGGAGCTATGTCTACATTACATGGCCTTAAATCAGTACGATTCCGTGCGTTGTCGCACGACCACCGTGTACCTTCGCTCAGACGCCGTACAAAAAGGGTATTACGGGCAGTATCCGGGCACCGTACGGGCATTGCGGTTCAAATGTAATCTAGGCTTAACTCAACCAACTCCACACAGTTTCACCACAGCGGAACTCTTAGACTTCCTCAAAGATGAATATTTATATTAATAAATGTTTACACCTTTGTTAATGAGAGCACTTTAACAAAAATGAACAGTACACTATTATTCGTTGCTGCAAAAGCAGTTATATTGTTTTGAGTTTAGTATCATAAACAACCGTATCCAGTTTCCCATGTTATCTACTTTATATCCTCATTATTGATGTATCTATAGTCCGCACCTGACGTGGCACTATTATCAGCCAATGTGTTAGTGATGTATCCTGTAACGATTATCTCTGGAATTTGCCGTTTTGAATTTGCATCCATCTCTGCCAAAAACCTTTTAACTGGCATGAATAATTTAGTGCTGCGTGTCGTCGTTGTAACCATCAATTAATCTTAATACCGTTCGTCTCTTCCCATAAGTTTTGAATTTTTACTGAATGTGGTATAATTTTTGTAAAAAAATCGTTTTTTGAGTTATCCGTATATTTTTATTATCATACAATGATTAATTTTACTTTATATGAGATTATGCTGAGATAACGGGCACAGTGTGTGTTTTACCATCACCAAAATAGACAAAAATGAATATCAAGAATCAATTACCAGACGAAAACATTGCATTTAAAGCGAAGATTAAACTTCGGCGTTAGTGAATAGATTCAAAGAGAGCAATGACTGCGTGAATATGAAGTATGGAAAATATAAAAAACACAAATTGTAACAAATTCAATACAAAATAAGATACACAGGGTAAAGAAAAGCTCTTGCTAAACGTTATATTATGGTAGGGCAATAGCTTTTTTAATTGAAAAATATTCGGTAAGAAGATGTATGAAACATTATTTCAAATTGATAATATTACAAAAATATTTTCTCGGGGAATGTGTATGTTAAAATGCCGAATTGTTGACATATTAAAAATGATTATAATATAAAGGTGGAAATAATGAGGCATTATGCAATTATAAAAATTCGTTCCTATGAATGTAATGTCCTACCCAGACCTAGAGGCGCAACTGTGTTTAAGTATAGTAGATCTCTTTCACATCGGGCTGCGGTATACATCTTCTTATTGTTTTAAACTGTCAGACATACTCCTTTAAAGTCAGCTTCCATTCGAGATTTATACATCAGATTAATAACAATATGGACATATAACCACAAAAATCTTCGAAAATGAAGTTGGGTTTTTTATTGACTTAAAACTTGCATTCAGACAACACATAAAATAGTGCAACGAACACCTATTATATCGCGGAATTGATTGGAAGGGGTTTCCCTGTTCCTAAACAAGCCCACTTTTCGCTCTCCAAAGCGATACATGGTACAAATGCAAAGTTCGATACGCACCTAAATTTTGATATTTTTTACTTAATTGAAATTGGAAGCCATGGTTCAAAATTGAATCGGATTTCCTTGTAAATATACAGAGAAGAGATAAGAATGATTACAGCCATTGATAAATTCCTTAGAAACTGAAGGTAAATTAGCAGCAAGCCTCCGCCGGTTTCAAGTCTGAAGAATTTCTCTATCTCATATATGTGAAGTAGTAGTAACAATAGAATGAACATTGGCAGCAGTGAACCGTACAATAACCACTTTACATCTTAAATTAGTCATTTCACTTTAATTTACACCTTAATTGCCTCCATAAAGAAAAGCGAGTTGGTTTTTATAGTTATGATAAACGAATAGGCCTAAGAGCTACTGACGGTGGTTTGACTCAATCATCCCTCATGCGATCATGTCGACTTCGCACTAATTTAAGTCAGTAATGTGAGCGATCAGCACTTGCACATTCCTAATACAATGTCAATGTTGAGTTGTTTACAACACTTCCCCAGTGTGGCGTATCATCTAATGATAGATATTCAGCTTTGCACATCAATATCATCTAATTGTTTCACAACGATAGGAAATAAAAAGGCATGTGTTACATACACCCCATTTCCATAGATTTTTAGATCGATCTATCCCTGTGGGGAGTCTCACTAGATTACTGTCAGCTTGGCCGGCTTAAGCGTCTGTCCCGCCTACTAAAAGCTGTAAAGGGGTAATTAACTATGGTGCCCGCTCGGCTGACTGCAATTTAGCGTGAACCCCCAGGGAGTTAGGTCGATCTAAATCTTAATCTCTAGATCGATCTAAATCTCTGGGAATAGTCATGGATGCTTCCCTGGGGTATTTTTGAAAGTGATTTAGCCACATTCATTAGTCTCGTTCTACACTGTCCCCAAGCAATTGTCTTCATAATAGTCATAACCAGTATCTGGAAGCAGGTCGCCGTACTGGGCAGTACTGGGCAGAAGTTCACAGACACATTGGTCATTTCCAGAACAGAGAACGTTTATGGCCACACACTTCCACTGTTTCATACAGGAGATGCTGCATTCCCTGCGGCTGCGGACATTCAGACTGGACAAGGGCACAAGGGGTGCGCGAACACCTGCTGCTGTTCGTTTGAACGTAGTTGAACGTGTAATACCTATACAAAAAAAAACATTAATTAACTACGAGACTTAAAAACTTATAACAAAGAGGTGCTAGTGCCTGACTGACCGGTTATTTCAACGTCGAATTAATCATAAAATGTGTAAGGTTTATAGATATATTATTCACGCCCTTCAAAAAACTGATAATATTATATACATGTACGTAATGTGGTATATCGCAGTTTGAGGTCCGCCTGTAAATGCGATTTTGAGAAACTATAAACTCACCATAAACTTCCACTTCACAAAGCTGCAATGGATCATCGTCACTACCAACTTTAATAATCAACACATATTGTCCTGTCAGTGGTGACCCACAGGACAGAGATGTGTTCCCCACAGGTGCCACCCCCGGGTAACTGGCGCAGAGTTTGTACTGGGTGAATGATGCACTATCCGCAAAAGAGGTTCCAACTCTCACCTCGAAATTATTCAAACGGTCAGCTGAAAATAATAGTAGTAGACTGTAAAATATAAGATAACACTTTTATCATACTGTACTTGGATGTCATGTAGCGGTATATTAAACAATAGCTCATCTATTAAAATTAAAAACCCTTATGCGGATCGAACTTGATATTCCAATACTTACGGCAATAAAAACATCAGCGACTTAATACAAAATATATAAAGAACCAAAAATCTTACGACAGCAGTCGCCACGGTTTGTTATAATTAGACCAGCCACCCTCTCCGTGGTTTGTAAATCCACCAGCCACCATTGACCCTGACCCCATCCTGTATGGCTACAACTCCGATGGTGGTAGTCGTCATCATAGTTACCATCCACAACAAGGCTGGCATTGCGCGTCTGGTAGATGGAACTTTGGTAGGCCGGTTTTCCTTTAGCCAAATTCTTCGTGCAATTTCTGCATAGTGTTACATCTGCCGGTGAAAGATACCAACAACATCTATTATTATTATTATTATTATTATTATTTTATTATGTGCAAGGGTATAGTAAGAACACACAATATCTTTTTTGTCCTAATCAGATTGAAAGGGAATTTATAGAACAATTTTGAATTCAGAAACAACTATCTAACCACACAGCTGGTAAGGTTATGATATTGTGCCACAATGGATATCATATTATTGCCAAAATACATCTTTTTTAGCTCTGTGACAAATCAGTAAAAAAACACCACTTTTTACCTGGTGTGTTAAGTATCTGTGAATCTTACCCAAAAATATAACAGTAACTCCGACAAGAAGAGGTCTTAGAACCACCATGCTATAGCCACACACCTTGTTATCTCAGCAACTGCCTGTCCGGAACCGCACAAATTTAGATATAAACGTAATTTAGAATTAGTTTCGAAATACGGACACCGTTGGAAACTTTTAGTTAGGATAACGCGTCAGTATAAACTACCAGATTCGCGGTCGAAATCGTTACGTCTAAACGCTACAGAGGAAATCCACACTGACAAGAACGACCAGTTTCAATCGTTTAATGTGAACTCGTTGCCTGCCCAGGTACATTCTGACTCTCTATTCAATATTACAACCTTTAGTACGTACTCCAGCCAATGGCTTCATGCACTTCTTATCACTGGCTTCTTAATGCGACAGGTAAACAAGCCTTACTCGGCCTCTTCAAAATTGACATAATATATTATAGAGAATACAATAAAAGTTATGACTTGAAATTATTGACATCGTCTATGAAGTATTAAATGTGCCGATGGCAGACAAATCAATAAAGCATTCCGTTGTTGCCCTGGATGGTGATGTAATAAGAGTGGAGTGATTGCAAAGCAGAAAAGTTCAATTGATGCTTAATTATTCAAAAACGCCAACATAAGTGACATTCATTAGTTGCCCCAGTGATGGATATTGACCGGGCGTGCCCTAAGGGTATGCTGCATGAAATTGAACTTTATCAAAATTTCATCTCATCCTGTTATTGTAACACATTTTCGTCCTTTCAACTATAATAAATGTGTTTATGTATTTTGACTCCACACATTTCTATCATTTATGCAATCGACAATTAACTAAAAAACAAAAACAAAAGGCAAGATTGAGAAGTAGTACCTATGTTGTAAAGCAAATTACTTACACTTTCACTAATTACAGATAATAATTAAAGCGGAATCAAATGAGTAAAAGGGACAAAGAGTGATTGAGTGTAAGTTAAGTTTCATCAAGAGTCAACAAGTGTAGAACATGTTTTTTAGTGTCAGAAAAAGATGGAAAAGGTCAAAGTCAGTAACAGTTAATGTGATTGGTTAATTTCATAACATATTTTAATTTTGATCATGTATTTATCACATGATAACTGAGTTTTGGATAAGGTCCAAGCATGAGTAATCCAAATAATATTTTACATATCTTTAAATGAAAACAAGTCTCTTAGGGATTACCTAATAAGGAAATGTTGCATGGTGACTTGCAACATGCGAATGGAAAATATTTTGTAATCACGCAAAGACAATGGAAAAGAAAACAAGTAAATGCGTGATCAGTACGGAGAAATTGAGTATAAATATTTTTGAAGTTGTATGAAGCGGGAGTCGGTGAATAAACGTTCGAAAGCTCCACACTGCTGTCGTCATTCCTCACTATAACACCTTATGTTGTGAGTTCTGCTTTATTACATTCAATATTCCCGCGTCAAGTCACATGGTACCAGGTGTCATGCGACACCTGGCGTGACGCACAAACAATACATAGACTAATACACTACATTCCTCCCCATCATATTTTCAAAACATGATTATATATAAACAACTGATAATTAAGATAAAGTCTGAATTAATTATAATTGTTGAAATGACTTTAACAGACATATACGGATTACACTTTATCAACAGCCGTTGCTTTAAATGACAATGTTATACGTGTAATATGCATTACATCAGCACAGTTAATAATAATGAGATCTATTTTTGTGCATAATAAATAATAATTGTGCATATACATTACAAAAGAACGGCACAAATAAATACATTATTTCCTTATAGCTAAGGCAACATGTTGTGTTAAACAGTGCATACTTTCAAGTCCCATTTTTTAAAAATATAAATGTGCATGCATTACTGCATAAACGGCACATATGAACTTTACTAATTATGCTAAATCTGCATTATCAACATGGCACATATGCACTTTACTCATAAGATTGTACTGTGCATCCAAACAGCTTCAAAATATTTACAACTTACGAATGCCTTGATAAAGTGAACGACATATAATTGTGTCCCTTGTATGAATAGAATATTGAATGCAAATACAGGCTCAGTATAATGTAGCCAATATATGTATGTAAAACATAGTCAATGTTCGGTTCAAAGTCAATAGAGTTCACAGAAAG